AATAGGCATTTAGAAATTTTCTTTTTATAGATATAATTTTTTAAAATTTTAATAAAATTCAAAAAATTTTATCTATTTCTTTTTTAAAAAAAGAATTAAATTTATTTAATTACTTATCATAGTTTTAAAAAATATCTCTTTCATTGACTTAACTAAAAAGTTAATAAAAAGAGATAAACAAATGTGGCTAATAATTGAAAAAAAAAATTGGTGAAATATTTATGTAGAAAGATATTAATATGGAGTATGATGTGGCATTGGTGGGTCCTGTTATAGCCAAATTGGAGAAAAGGATAATATAGAAATATAAGTTAAACGCCAAACCGTTAGGCTTTAACGGTAAAAAGTGACGGTGTCAACCACGGAATGGATGGAGGGACGAAATTGATGACTTTTTGAATGGTAAAGGGTGGACATGTGAGCTCAAAATGAAGTAGAGGGACGACCTGAGGTGATTCCATAGTAGAAGGGTTAAATTGAACTTTTTCACAAAGTAGGGGGATGATAGATGGCTTTAAGCCTTTGTGAAATGGATTACAAAGATTGCATTTTAAAAAATATTATAAAGACTAAAGGAAAACCCTGAAATTGCTTCTAGGATTCAAACACTTAACCTCTTACATAATTAGAACAACTTATGCCACTTGATTTGAACCTAATTTTTTGACTCTAATGCTTTGAGATTTATTATTGGAATTACATAAATGAATAAAGTTGACACACTTAAACTCAAAACTCGAGTTCTATATGAAACTAAGAAGGACTCCCAACCACTAGAGCTTCTCCTAACTTTTGGAAATGTGTTGTATTATATTATATTTAATATATATTTTTAAAAGGTTTAAGTATCATTTTGGTCCCTCAACTTTTGACTTTGACACCAAAATTGTCCCTCACCTTTAAAAAATATCAAAATTATCCTTAAACTTTCATTTTTGGTACCAAAATGGTCCTTCCATCAATTAAGTGACAGGTGGCATGTTAAAATGCCACAAAATCACTGCATTTTTTTAATAGATGACATGTAAATCCACGAGAGAAAATTTTGTCAACATGGCTTTTTTTTCACACATCAGATTATCAAACAATCATTAAAAATTTTACGGGATCCACATGAAAATTTGTTTTCTCTTTTCTTAGTTTCAGTCGAGTTAACAAAAATGGCAGTGTTCTTCGTTGCTCTTTTCATTTTCTTTTCAGATTCAAAACCCTAAACTTGTTACTTCTGCAAAATCAAAATCAAATCAAGTTTTATATCACCATGGAATCTATTGATCGAATATGTTGATTTGGTATTTCTTAAAATTCATACCAAATATGGGTTTTCTCTCTCAAACTTTATCTTCTTCCTCCTTTCCTCTTTTCCTCTTTTGACAGTTTTGCCTCTTCATTCCCTATCAACCTCCCTCCTTCCTTTCCTTGCTCATCCTTCTTCTTTCTTCTTCTTATTCTTTCTTTCTCTTCTCCCTTCTTCTTCCTCTCTCAAACCTAGATCTAAGTTTTTCTCAAACCCAAATATTCATGTTTCATCCATAATAGG